AGTAACTGCAAACTCACCAACACAGGCAGTAGCTCTCTATCTGACCCTTCTACCTACAGGTCAATTGTTGGGGCCTTACAGTATGCAACTCTCACACGGCCAGAAATTAGCTTTGCAGTCAATAAAGTTTGTCAATTCATGGCCACACCTCTGCAGGATCATTGGCAAGCTGTCAAACACATTCTCAGATATCTCTCTGGTACCATAACCCATGGTATTATTATCAAACCCTTGCCCCTTGCCACTATTCCTTTGCCAATCTCAGCCTTTTGTGATGCTGATTGGGCATCTGATCATGTTGATAGAAGGTCCACTTCTGGATCCTGCATTTTCCTTGGTCCAAACATTATTTCCTGGTGGTCAAAGAAACAAGTAAGGGTTGCAAGGTCTTCAGCTGAAGCTGAGTATAGAAGCTTGGCTGACACAGTTGCTGAACTTTTATGGATCCAATCTCTGCTTAAGGAACTTCAAGTTCCTTTCACTATTCCCAAAGTTTACTGTGATAACCTTAGCACAGTACAACTTGCACATAATCCAGTACTTCATTCTCGCATCAAACACATGGAGATTGACCTATTCTTTGTCATGGAACAAGTTCAGTCTAAACAGCTTGAAGTATATCACATTTCAGCCCTCTATCAAATTGTTGATGTTCTTACAAAACCATTGACTGCATCATCCTTCCTTGAGCTCAAGACCAAACTTAGTGTGATTGATGTTCCACATCAATCACCCTAACTTTGTGGGGGGAATGTTAGAGATACTATATCTACGAACTGTGTAATAAGCTTAGTATTCAGTTAGCAAGTTATAGTTAGTCAAGCTGTTTAGATTCAGTTACAAGTTGGTTATACTACCTCTCTATAAATACTGATGTACTGGTATTATGTGATTAAATGAAAATCCTTCTTCTTCATTTCATATTCTGGCTACTTTTCTAATATTGAGCTTCCAAACTTTTGTAGTCAAGGCACAATTTGGGTCCTCTTTAATAGATATAATTGGGGGAGGAGGGGGTGGGTGGTGGGAGGTCATATGCATCTGGCATTAACTACTTGGTCCAAAAGGTGGAATCTCCCACCCCGGGAGCCCCCCATACCCCGACCCGACATGATTTTTTGGGAGGATGTTAATCACGGTGACTCAGTCGGCCCAATGATGGTAGACCTTTTTCCCGTGCGCACCAGAGGCCCAGCCTTATTTCAGGTTCTGTGACCTCCGCACGGCCGATGCGGGTTTCGAACCTTGATCACTTGGTCCAAATTTCCCACCACTGAACCAACTGAGCTACTCGTGCGGGTATCTGGCATTAACTACAATAGCTTCTAATTGTGTACTTTCTTTTTACACTACACTGAAAGAATCCAAAAAACTTGATCCTCCAGACACAAGCTTCTCATATCAAAGTAATGATTTTATTAATTTCCCAACAAAGCAAAACTCTGTTCATTTGGTAGAGCATCAAAGTAAGAACCAAATTATAAACTACGGAGTATAAAGTAAGGAACAGGAAAATCCACTTTACGATGAAGTAGGTAATGCTTCCTATCATACATATAAACTATAAAGACAGAGTGTCTATTTTTCTATCGAATGCTCACTATTATTAGCATTTGACTATATAACAAGCTAATATGAAGATCACTTTTGATTAGAGAATAATATATCCTTTTTATTTTGAAAAAAAAATCAAGGTTAGTACTCTTTAAATTGCCTTTGCAACATTTTGCTTCTAAAAATTGATTTTTTTTTTGCTTTCCTCCATATATGTAAACACTTGTGGATCGTTGCGCTTACCGCTACACTAAAAGCAATCGATGATAGTGTAGCACGCTCCTCCTCATTTATAGCACATGCGAAGCGTCACGCAGTTCGATTGCACCGGCAGGCTGACAGATTGCTGACACAACATACTCGCGGCCCAACAATCTTCCCCCAGCCTCAACTGTGCAGCATGCTGTTGCCGGGGTCGAACCCGTGACCTTGGCTCTGATACCACTTGTGGATCGTTGCGCTTACCGCTATACTAAAAGTAATCGCTGATAGTGTAGCACGTTCTTTCCCATTTATAGCACATGCGAAGCGCCACGTGGTTCGATTGCACCGGCAGGCTGACAGATTGTTGACACCGCATACCCGCGGCCCAACAACACTAAATGGGGTTGTAAAAAAATATTACTTTTCTATGGTTTTATGAAGGTTTTAGTTACTATTTTAGGTGCAAACTTTTTTTTGGAAGGAAAATATTGATCTATATGGATTATACCAATTGTAAAGGGAGGCCATGAATAATACTCCAAACAAACATTCTCTTTTTTCCTGGCTGTGAAAATATTATTGTATCTAAGAATATGCTTTAGGAATATACTCTAGACATTATTATTGTATAGGGAAAAGGGGCAAATAAGGCCACGTACTAACAAAAAAAGGTCAAATAAGGCCTTATTTATGAAACTCTGTCCGGCATTCGCCATTTGGGTTGGTTCTAGGTGGAATTTTTTGATGAAATGTTTTGACCATCTTATTCAGTAAGTCTAGTTTACTCGTACCAAATTTAAGCTAAAACTTCAATCGGGAAGCCATTCAAATGAATTCTTGAAGATAATTGCGCAGTTAAAAGCGCAGTTATCTTCAAGAATTCATTTGAATGTCTTCTCGATTATATTTTTATTTGAAATTTGGTATGAGTAAACTAGACTTGATGAATAAGTTGGTCAAAAAAATTAATCAAAAAATTCCACGAGAACCACCCCAAATGGCGAAGGCCGGACAGAGCCTCATAAATAAGGTCTTATTTGACCTTTTTTGGTTAGTACATGACTTTATTTGCCCCTTTTCCCTTATTGTATATCATCTTATATATGAATATTCTATCTTTGTAATATATATATAGGGCCTTAACCCTCCAATGAATATTCTATCTCGAATGTATTGCAAGTACCTTACGTATTTTATACATGTTCACGTATTTACATTTATTTATACATTTCAAAAATTAATTGATAGCAAAATAAGTAGTAAAAATGCAATGAATGAGAGAGAAATTAATAAAAACTAGAAAGATAAAGTATAAATATTATAAAATTTTTATAAAATAAAAAATTCAAAAACTTTTTCTTTAAATAATTTTATTTTTAAAAAAATTAATAAAAAAAAGTAAAACTCCGTAAAATTTTTTTTAAAAAATATGGATGCCTTTCCCACCGTCTGTACTACCTCCTAGCACCACCACCTCCGGCCGATGAAAAAATGCCATTTTCCCAGAAAAATGCCATTTTTTTCTGAAAATGCCAAAAAAGTGGCATATTTCTCTTTTCGAATACCAACATTTTCATTTTTTCTGCCATAAATATGGCATTCGTAATGAACTTGACATTTTTTCCCCCTGGTGAATGGAGGTGGTGGTGCTGAGGCGGCAGAGGCGGTGGCGATTTTTTTTTTTGAGTTTTTATTTTTTTATTTTTTTTTAATTTTTTTAATTTTTTGAAAAAAAAAATTAAATTTTAATATTGAAATGTTTTTCTTAATTTTTTAGTATTTTTTACGAATTTTTATTATTTTTTATTATTTTATTAGGAATTAAAACATTTTAATAGCTATAAGGGTATAATTGTCCAAGTACACATAATTAGTCCTATGCAAACATAATTTATTTTTTGGTCCTATTTGTGAAAAGTGAATGACTTTTAGTCCTATTTTGATAATTAACTCTATATCATATCTATTTAAATTAGTTATACAATTATTATATCTACTTATATATTTATTATCTACATATAAATACACAGGCCCGGTCCTGGCATTTTATGGACCCGGGACAATATAGATAGAGTAGGCCTTTAAGAACATGTGAATGTTTATTTTTCTTATAAAAAATTATAATTAAAGTTAAGGAATTTTGTCATCTATATACGAATGTAACACAACAAAGAAATTAATAAATGAGACGGTTAGAAAGATTATATTTAAGTATTTGATAAGTTACGTACATTCGAGAATACTATCTATATACCTAAACTGATCAAACGAAAAAGTAGTATCATCGTTACTTGCAATACAAAATGAAGTAGGCAAAGACATGAATGTTACAGGGTATATGATATATGGAGTAATGTTTTTATATTTGAAATCACATTTTCACTAGACTAAAATAAACTACAAATTTCTAAATTCTTTATACTATAATTTAATACTTCACTTAAATGAGAGAACCAAAGAAAACTAGTAAATTGCTATGAATGAATCATGGGTTTACATGGGAGAAGTAGTTGAAAAGATTAACATTTATGCACTAACACTTTATGAATGATTAGAATTGTGCAGTCTGTTCCCAATAAATTTTGGTGTAGTTGTTCCAAAATTTTAGACTTATAGCATTTAGGTATTGTTGAATAAGTAATGAATTGGAAGTATAAAAATTATAATTTTTATTTTACTTTTAATTTTTTATAGACATATAACGTATATATAATTTATATTTATGTATAACTGGTAAATTTATGGGCCCTACACGAGGAATGGGCCCGGGGCGCATGCCCCCTTGCCCATGCCCCAGAACCGGCCCTGTAAATACATATATTATATTACTTGTATTTATTATCTACTTAATAAATACTTAAAGTAGTTGCATTTTTAGTTAATTTTACTACCGTTGTTATATTGAATTATTAAAGTAGTTGCAATTTTTATATTATAATCACATTACTTGCATTTTAATATAAAAGTCACATTTTTAGTATTGTTACAAATTACTTACATTTGTTATTACTTGCATTATTTTTGTACTCATGTTAACATATTTGTTAGAATTTAATATTTGTTACATTTTAAGATGGAACGTGGTAGACATTCTGTAGATCTATGTAACCTCCAACGCAACCGAAAGAAGGAGATTGGGAGGAATCATCCTACTTTACGCAAAAGGTAAAGGACATTTTGGGTATTCTTCTCAAAGCCGAAATTATTTTGACACAAATTATGACCAGAGAGGTGCAATTTACGAGGAAACACCCGAAGAGGTGGCCATCATCAAACCCCCGACGAGGAAACACCTCATGAGGACGAGTCTCATTCATCCCAACTTGATAAGAAAGGTCAATCTCTCCTTATGAAAAACAATTACACAAAATGGAAGGAAACGACAAACAAGATGTGGTGGGCAACTTGCCACCATTGTTACGAAAAAATTGCTTGGTCCTGGTGGAATCCCGGACCGGTGCCGGGCCTTAAGACCAACAAGTTAGTACCGGTCGGGCCAGTCCCGGGTCCCGGCCCGGACCAGGTCCGCTCCTACCCTATCCCCCAGTAGGGGGTGCGCGCAGCAGGGCCTAGTTTGAATTTGGACAGTCATTCTTATCAAATTCGTATTGAAGTGAAGTACTAGTATATCCAATTTCGATCTCGCCTTGATTCATTTGCAGCCTGCTGTAAATTATTCTCAACAAACTGTGTACGAATGGCTGAAATAAATTATTAGTGGGTGGTATTTATATACGGTAATACGGAGTAATCAGATTGGAGCAGGTTGTGCGTACGATAGACTGAAAATGGCATATAAATAAAGTCTCCGGTTGGCCAGATAGGGTGGGGACTGGGGAGGGCCAAGGTGAAATCCGGGTTGGAAATCCCTTCTGCGTTCGGAGCATCCGGAAAGGAAAACGAGAACAAACAAATATTCATCACGGAGTTCAATCAAATCATTTCTATTTCTGACGGACGGATCACATGGGTCTTTCTTGTTGAAATCAATTCATTTTCCTCTCCTGAAAGTCAAAGATCGCGAACTCGCATTTGATTCGTAGCTTTAAGGAGAGCAGAGTATCCCTCTTTATTTGGTTCATCATTATTTCTGATAAGGGAATCTCGGGTTGGATTTCCAATCGGAATATCATTTTCTTTGGTCTGCCTCCTGGGATTTAAGAGCCCCTTGCCCCTCTCGCTTCTTCTCTGTACCTCGCTGTCCTCGTCAACCGGAGCTTCTTATTTGTTCCATCCATCAGTAGTAAGCATCTCTGAACATCTGTTTGAAATGTTTATGGTATTTGTCGCTTTATAATTTGAATTTCAAGACTTTGTTACAAATCTTTGTTAATGCTTAATTTGAATTCACATTTCTCTAGGGTTTGACTTGCTGTTAATGCACCAAAAGTTTGAATTTTTTTATACCAATTGTAAAAGCTACTTGTAGAAGATTTCACATATATTATACCAATTATATTGTCATCTTAACGTGCATGTTTGTTTGATTAATTCAGGTGCAGATATGCAGTGTCAGCTGGTTTGCAACGGGTGCAGGACTACTCTTCTCTATCCAAGAGGAGCCTCAAACGTCTGTTGTGCAGTGTGCAATGCCCTCACACCTGTCCCGCCTCCTGGTATTGTACTATCTTTATCAAAATCTCAACAGTCAATTGTTAGCAATGCGTTTCTAGGTGTTGGTAGATGAAAATGGAATTAGAAATGCTGGTATAGTATCCTGTAGGCTGATGGCTTTTCTAAAATACATACTCCGTAATTCATTATGATGCTAGAGCCTCTCCCAAAAAGAAAAAGAAACCTAGAAAAAGCAGAGAATTTTTTGAATTTTGCATTTTGCATTAAAGTTATTTCATTCTCCCAATGAACGTTATTTCATTTTGCAATTTAGCTGCCAATGTCAGTATTAAAGAAAAAGTTTTCAATTTTTTTGAGTTGCGTGCACTGGACAGAAAGAAAATGAAGACCAGGTTGATTAACATTGTGCATGAACGTTATTTCATTCTATCTGTTTGAAAATCAGTTGTAGACTGCGTAAAGGATGGGACAATTTACTATATATTATTTATGTTGAACAAATGGGGGTGAGCTTTATTCTTAGTGATGAAGATTATTTGTTTCATTTTGGGCTTGAGTTGATCTTTTTTATAGTTTAGTCAAAAAGTGGGCAGCCCACTTGGGCAAGATATTAACACATTCATATTTTGTACTCCGTATATAATTAGTTTTGAATTAACGTGTATTTCAAAATAAGCAAGATTACTGCAGAGCTTTTAATGCTGAAGTGTAAATTTAATTTCAAAGTAAGGTTTAATACACACCATCCCAAACAAGTAAGGTCAACTTACTATGCACCATATAAGCATACCAACTAAGCCTGCCCCCTAACGTACCAAAAAAATAAAAGTTGCTACCTTGTTCCCTTTTCTGTACATCAAACCTGGGAGTACCACATTTCTGGCCACTTTAGTCTATATTACAATATCTGTGTGCTTAATCTCTGTTACTTTAGTTTTTATTTAAATTGCTCTTAACGCAGCAATGGAAATGGCTCAACTCATATGCGGAGGCTGTCGAACGCTGCTGATGCATCCACGTGGTGCTACTAGTGTGAGATGTTCATGTTGTCACACAGTTAACCTTGTGCCAGGTAAAAAAATATTAATGCTGACATTCATACAAGTTTAAACAAAATGAGTTAAATTGTAATGCCATAGATGACATGTATGATAGATACAATGATGTTTGCTCGAAACTGCATAATGTAATATGCTACGTCCAACCTAAATAAAATTCATGTTCTCCTTTTTGGTTCGTGCCTAAATAAGGTTTCTTTCCTAAAAGCAATTTTGATTTTACTTACTACGCTCATTTAATATCCCCAATTAGCGCCACCATTTAGTCTTGAATACATATTACAAGCAAATATTTGGAAGTCATGGGCAGAACATCTGAGTCATTCAAGTCAAAATAGAATTAGGGCATGTCTCTACTTCAACCACTAGCCAAACTGCCATCGGGCTTTGGGGACCTCTTCGTGGGTGTCACACACAAAAAAAAGTCAAACCGAGATAATTTTTTAATGGTGGAGGGGGAGGGGGTAGATCATATGTTCTTTACCAGTTTTCTTAATGTTATTTTAACCATTCTTTTTTGTGAAGAGTGAAAATAACAATTAATGGTGATAATTTGATAGTATAACATATTTGTGGGTAGGCATCTTCAACTTATGCTTGCTGAAAGGGTTGAATAGAAAACTGAATATTAGTGCGGGTATCAATAAGAGCTCATTGACTTTGAAATATTAGGAGTGATTGACAATTTTATGTAGTACAATCCTGTGTTAAGTTCACAAGATATAAAAATTGTGCTTGATTCAAGCCTGGAGATATGATTTTGTTGAAAATTCGTATCATTCCTGGTGTGACAATTTGGTATAAAGTGGGTGATACAAAATCCCACATAGGAGGTATGGTTGAAATTATCCTACGGAATTAAGGCTGTTATTATCTACCGTTTCCTCTTATGCAAGCATAGTTGCACGTTACAATTTCAATCTCATGAGTTTATTAGTTTATCTGCTGTACTGTATTATCCTTCTTTATGGAAGAACTTGCACCCCCATGAAATCTTGCTAATTTGATTATTTAAAAGAAGAAAACAGAAAAATGAATCATGATTGTGAGTTATTTATTCTGCAACAACAGTCTCAATCCCAAATCAATGGGGTCGATTACATGAACTAATAGGAAATCACTCAAGTTCAGCCATTAAAATCCTCTTTTCCTGCATATTTGCATCTTCAGTCCAAATAATTTTCAATTTTCAATTTTCAATTCTAAAAGCAGTATAGTACTATTACTATAGTTATATTGAAAGTATCTTTTGCTGATACCAGTAACCCTAAAGTCTAATGAGCCCTTATACTTTAGTTAATGCCTATGCAAGTTATATTGAAAATTGAGTCCCTAAAACAAGGTATAATCAGAACTTCCATTTTTTATTATAATTTTGATGATATTAAATATAGCTTTCATGGTACATTTGTTTTATATCATTTATTTTCTAAATGTGCAATGAATATAAATTAAAACTATAAGAGTGATTGTTAGTTTAGTTTCAAGAAATCAAGTACAATAGATGATGGTCAAATTGTTATTGCAAAAAGGTTAGATTATAATATCTCAAAGTTTAGATTCCGGTTTTTAAACTGCAGTAGAGTGAGTGATTTTTTCTGTAGCCTCTTAGTAATGGTAGTGGTATATTATATCTCTGGACAATTTTAAACTGTTTATAGGCTATGAGGCTAAGAAACAAGTTCGTGTTACAAGTTCAACATGATAACAGAAGTTTAAAATTTGAAACAATAAGCTGTCAGTATCACAGTATTAGGTTGTGGGAAAGAGTCTCGGAAATATTGAATGAGATGTTGGTTAAATTTTACAGGGTTATTCTTTTGGAAATTCTAACCCCACTCTTTTGAAACTAAGGCTTGGATGTTGATGTATTCTTTTGGAAATTCTGGAAAATTTAGGACGCCCCTTTGTACTTTTTGTAGATATGAGTTAATTTAGCTTGTAGCTGTATTTATTACTTTTAAGATGTGAACTTACTTTAAATGCCCATATCTCATTCTCATCATGCCTTTTAATATTGAATGAAAATTTGGCTGATGAACAGTACCAAACCAGTTTGCTCATATTAACTGTGGAAGTTGTCGTACAATGTTGATGTATCCATCTGGAGCTCCCTCTGTTAAGTGTGCATTGTGTCACTTCATTACTAATGCTAATGTGAGTATAAGTTTTACCTTATATTTATTATCTACTACAATAATGTTTCGAGTTTATGTATGATGCCAATATCTTTTGCTCTTGCTGTGGATGCATTGGTAATTTGAAAGAAAAAGCAAAAGAACTGTTTCTGGCTTTCTTATTTTAAAAAATCAGATGTCACTACCCAGGTAGTGAGATATCTATAATCTGGTCTTGTCTTCATTAAAGCTCCATTTTGAAATGCAGAAAATGACTTCCAGAAACCAATTTTGAAACTCTCGTGTGTTTTAATGTATTACTTGCATAGGAAAATGAAGTCAATGAAAAACAACTTTACAGGTAAAGGAAACATTGGCTTTAAAATATGGAAAACAGACTTTTCCCCCATTTTCATGGTCTCAACCAACAACAAGTCACCATTATAAAGTATCAACAAGAAAGACTCAAACCGTCGCCACTACCTTTTGATGTCACCACTCCACCATAGACAATTGTTAAGACTCCATTCCTACAATCATAGTATCATCATCGTTGTTTTACTACCCATTATCGGTGCCTGTTGCCACACCACCATCATCTAGTGACCCCAACCATCAATCATTCGCCATCAACGTGGCCCTCAAGGTTGTCATGGCTGTTATGCGAGATGCGGTGCCAACAAACTGCTTTGTCCCTAAACAATAATTTGGCGACAGCGCGTGCAATATTTGAATATAATACTCCCTCCGTCCCAAAAAATACTTCCCACTTTCCTTTTTGGGCCGTTCCAAAAAACACTTCCCACTTTCCCTTCTTGGACAATTTGTGTGGCTCACATTCATCTTAACTTTTTCTTACACAGCTACAAATATACATTTCCACTTTATTCCACTTTCTTAATAAGCGTGCCAAGTCAAACCGGGAAGTATTTTTTGGGACGGTGGTAGTATATAAAAATCTAATTCATAGATTATTAAATCGTCATATTCACTCAAAACACAAGTCTGATTATTTTGTCTCCAATCAGTTGAACCACAAAACTTTAGAAAAAGCGGTAATGTGATTGAAGTGATTGATATATAAAGAAATCAAAAAATCATAAAGAAAAAAGTCATTTGCAAAGATAAGTAAACCAAAATGAAGAAAAGGGAAGAAAGATTAAACTTAAGGAAGGAAATGCAAACATGGCGGGGTTGGGCTGCCAGGTTTTAATAGATTTGGTGAAAAATCAAGCATGGGCATCCCAATGAATACCTATGACGCCTAAGAAACCCCATTCTATGTTTGACATTCTTCATTTAAGGAGACATGCGACCAATTACGGTGACCACTGCCTGGACACTTAAGCGCCATCTAGTCGACGCCTAGACGTAGCCATGATCCTATGACAACTATGGTTGTTAGTTTGTCACTACCCTCCAACCATGGCACCATGATATGATCAAATACCTGTCACATTCCGAACACTACTACCATCACCATCGTCGGCCCTAACCACCATTACCTTTATCACCCATCGTCTATCAACATTTTCACCATCACTACTGAGCGCTGTTGCCACGGCCACTACTACTATTGCCTCTGCTATCATCGCCATCATCAGCCCCACCTTACAACTGTTTCTGCTAAGCACCGCTAGTACTCCTACAATATTCATTGTCACGTCCCCATTGTAAGGCCTCAAAATTAGAGAAGATTTAGTGTTCATTTGGATGAAGGCTTATGGAAGGACAGGTTCGGAGGGTTAAGTCACTATCTTCACATATATTTGTTAAATACGTATTGTTTTTAAATTAAAGGAATATACTACATATAATAGACGAGCATATAACATTTCAATCACCCTTTATATATTTTTAGAAACATTGTGTTTATTAAGATGTAGACTAGCCCTTCCAAACTGACTCAGGAAGGGATGTTGTTTCACCTGTATGTGTCTGGATTTGATATTTTTGGGCCTCTGGATGCAATTTTCTGTTTTAAATTTGTTTGCATGTGCATGTGTGTCTAGCAGGCGGTAGATTCACGAGTGCCGAGTCCATCCCTCCCCCCCAATGGATCTGCTAATCCAACTTCAGCAACAACACCTTCGTCAACTGTGAGTTCTTGGTGTAATTTATTATACTCCGTAGAACTTATCAATTGCATGTTGTAATGTTATAGATCGAAAGTTGTCAATCGGATCATGTTTCATGTGATTGCAGGCTACACTACGCCCACATAATCAAACTGTAGTTGTTCAAAACCCCATGTCTGTTGATGAAAGCGGAAAATTGGTAAATCCTCATTCTCTAAAGTTTTTCTTTTTAATCCCGTATTTGCGTGCAATTTGGATTTTAATGATAATCCATATGCTTTAATGATAATCTGTATGCTTCATAGGTGAGCAATGTTGTTGTCGGTGTGACAACACCATAGAATTGGCTGCAGCAGTGAAACATCAATTTATGGAATGGTTCTTACGAGGACTCATCCCACCATGAAAACGTCTTATTATGAGAACTTTCAATCTTCACCTTTTATTTGCCATTCAATGGCTAGCACTCATAACTCATAAGGTTGTATTTCTGTAACTGTCCTAAATTCAGACCTGGTTATGTTGAAAGTATTTGAAAATAATTAAAATGTGACATTGTCAATATTAGCCATTGATTAGATATATAAAAGATGTAGATCACAAGTTCTCGTTTACAACATGTTCTCATGGTAAAGTGGGTTCTCATGTAGACCAAAAGTTGAAGTCGGCCATCTTGCTTTATTGCTCAATCAGATGAATAGAGTGATATAGATATGATGGTGGATTTATAATGTTGTAACATTTGGTGTTCATACTGTAAAGATGATATGAAGATTTTGGATGCCGTTTTGACTTGAGATTTCTTTGATTATTTGTAATGTACTCATTTGCTTGTTGTGGATGGATTTTTTCATGTGATGTCCTCTACCTGTTATGTTAAATACCATTTGACCTTCATCGATTTAGTATAATAGTATCTACTTATAATACTTTCATTGCCATTGGAATCAGGGGTGGACCGGATCCGGTTCAGACCCGGCCGGGCCTCGGTTCATGAAAGGGGAGGCCCGGAACCGGCCCGGGCCGGGTCGGGCCTCGGTTCTTGTATTTTTTTGGCTTTTCCTAATTAACCCCCAACCCTCCCCCCTCACCCCTAAACCACCCCAAACCACCTCAAATGGCCCATCATACCCAGCCCAACCCAAACACTTAAAAAAAATTCAAAAAAAAAAAAGAAAAAAAAATTATTTGGTCCGGACCGGGCTCGAACCGGTCAGGCCGATTCACGATTTAGGAGGTCTGGGCCCGGCCCACCTACCGAACCGGGCACCAACCGGTTCATCGGGCCGGTCCGGGCCTGCACAATAGCGGGCTGATCCGGTTCTGAGCTGGTTGGCCCGGCCTGAGTCCACTCCTAATTGGAATTGGCTTGTGTAAGTTTACTTTCAACGTATGGGATTGTCAACTTTTATGATGACAAATACTTGTATAAAACTAAGATGTCTGAAAAGTATGGAGTTAGGCTTCAACTTGAGGTTTCAGTTCAAATGATCCTTTGGTTTTAGTTGTGATAGGAACATTATTAGACTCCAAGTTGCTCACATTATTAGAACTCAAGTTTTTTAAATCTGTGTTCTTGAAAACAGTTGCAAATTCTTTTTTTCCAACACTTCAATAGAAATTGGGATTGATGGGTTTTGAGCTACAACCGGAGCTAGGCGTGATACAGAAACCTTTGGTTAAGGCCTAAGGGTAGTATTTCGGATTTTATACTTGGAGGACTTGGAACCGGTGGTTCTGGTTTGAAAGCAAACGATTTTGATTCGAAACCAGATCCCTGAATTAAAAAAATATATATATACTTGATTATACAAAATTAAGATAGTTCAAGTTTAATATATTAGGAATGTTTAATTTGAATGATAATAAAAAAAATTAGTTTCAAATAATATGCACAGTGAAATAAACAATACGACCGTTCTAATTGAAGTTGATTACAGTAATAGCAAAAGAACTAATGAACTATATACCATAATCTCATAAGTATACACTGTATTTTGAGTTCCTAATAGAAACTAGAGCTGGCGGAGTCCAACTTTGTATTTGTTATCAGAGCTAGTGCATCCTTTAAATCTGAATCTGATTAATGGAAAATAACTTTAATTCATGCAAAAAAAGACAATTGAGAGAAGAACGGTTCAAATTAAGTTAAAAAAATTAATATGCTTTGAACTAAGTTAAATAAAAATAGTTCAAATTTAACCTATTAAGAATGGTATATACACTTTGAACTATATATTACCCTATCAAGATTGGTTAATATTCTTGATTGGCAAAAGAGGAGGTAATGTTGATCAAGAAAAGTGAGTTTATGTGATTGATATTGAATTGATAAAATGAGATTAAAGTAATATCGATTTACAATCACACAGTCGTTATTGAATTTGATATAATAAAAAGAAAAGATAGAAGACTTTTAACAGGATAGATTATGTAATATATTTAAAAAAACACTTCTATACTCCGTATTATTTATAGATCATAAATACTTTCATATATAAATATATTATTAATAAAAGTCTAGTTTTATGATTGGAAAAGTCAAATATGTCTACTTCTAATACTTTGTACAATTAGGGATGGACTAAACCGGGCCGGGCCGGCCCGGAACCGGCCAGGCCCGCTATTGTGCGGGCCCGGACCGGACCGGGCCCGGACCGGACCAGGACCGGTTGGTCGGTTCTGGGATTTTAACCCGTTTGGGCGGGTCGGGCGGGCCGGGCTCGAGCCCAGTTTTGGGCGAACCGGCCCGGGCGTTTCGGACCGGACCCGGGTCAATTTTTTTGTTTTTTCAATTTTTTCTTTTCCTAAGGTAGGGCTGGGTGTTTTGGGGAAGTTTAGGGCTGGGGGTGAGGGGGGGGGGGGGGGTCGGGGGATAACAAGACAGCAAAAAAAATTAGACATTGAACCGGGCCCGGCCCGGCCCGGTTAGGCCCGGACCCGGTATCAACCCGGGACGGTTCCGGGCCCAAGGATTTGCAAAAAAAGCCCGGCCGGGCCCGGCCCGGAACCGGAACCGGACCGGTCCGGGTCCATCCCTATGTACAATACCCCTTATTAGATTAAGAGCCCGTTTGATAATATCAAAATCGGTTGAATCGGCTCATTTTGCTTAAATTTATGAAATTCTGGTCGAAATGGGTGAATCAGCTGATTCTGTTAATTTATTAAAAAAATTATATTTAAGATATATTTTATTGTTAAAATAAAGAAAATAGTATATGTAAAAATAGCTAAAGTTGTCATCTACACTAATTTCACCTGATATAGTCATAAAATAACTTCAATCTTAGGGGTGTCCCCGTTTTTGATTTGATGGGAATTTAGTATTCCACGAGAATCCGAGTGTCCTCAACTTGGATTTTCTAAACTCCTTTGAAATTTGAGTGTCCTCAATCATTCTGTCATTTCTGTGGATTTCATTCTTTTGGATTTCAGCTGATTTTAATGGAATTGGTATGCAAAACAACACTAATCCAATTCCACCCATTCTCTTTCCCGGAAGCATCGGATTTGAAATCTCCCTACCGGTTTGTGCGCCTCTCCCGAATTCGAGTGTGATTTTGTTCACACCCTCTAAGGAGGGTGAACATCACCCTCCATACAATCCATGCCATTTGTCACTCCAATTATCTCTTTTCTTAAAATTATAATAACCTTTTTTTATATATAATCTGATTTTCACAAAAAATATACTCCCTCCGGTCCCAAATGAAATTCACACTTTGACTTCATACAAATTAAGGAAATAAATTTGACTTTACTGTAGAGTACATTGTTGTGACACCGTTTGACACTGTTTTGATGTAGATAATTTGCCAAATAAGGAAGGGAGAAGAAGTGTGAAGTTATTTTGGACCTACCCAAAAAGGAAAATGTGAATTTCATTTGGGACCGGAGGGAGTATAAGATTTAATAATTTTTTATTATCTTTCCAATGGTATCCATATTGCATATAAAAAATTAAAAAAAAACTTTTTTTCTTAAATCTATTTTTTGCCAGATTTTTTTTTACATATTCAATATTGGTATCATATAAAGATCATAAAAATTAAAAAATATTGATATAATTTTTGAAAAATATGAATAAAAACTGAAAAAATTATAACAATTGCAAAAGTTTAAACAATTATCATGCCATGTGGCAGTCTAATAGGGTGAGGGTGATGTTCACCCTCTTTAGAGGGGTGAACAAAATTATTCTCCCTGAATTCTCATTTGGCACTATTCCTTCGAACGAATATAGTGAAATACGAGCATATTTCAGCAGCAAAGAGCCTAAACAGAGTAGTTCAGGGAACCCGCACGGGTAGTTCAGTTGGTCGAGTGGTGGGAAAATTGGACCAAGTGACCAAGGTTCGAAACCCGCAGCGGCCGTGCGGATGTTACAGAACCTGAAATAAGGGTGGATCTCTGGTGCGCACGTGTATAAGGCCTACCGCCGCTTTGCTGATTGAGTCACCGTGATTAACTCCCGCATCATCATGTCGGGTCGGGGTGGGGGCTTCAGGGGTGGAAGATTCCACCTTTTGGACCAAGAGTACTTCAGGGTTGGGGAAGCTTCATCAGATGCATAGGGGCGGCGAGTGCTACATCCGTGTTATCCAGGGCGGAGCCAGGGGAGGGCCAACCTTGGCCCTGGCCCAGTTTAAATTTAAAAAATGTTCATATTTTTAGTGTAAAACATTATGTGTAAAATATTTTCCAAATATATTCTTTATACCGGTCCAGTCCGGCCCAGTGCTCTAACTCCGCCCCTGGAATTGTTATCAAACTTTCCTAATGCTGTTGATTCACTTTTAATAGGGAGTAGTTGCTTTTATAATTTTTTAACATATGCCCTTCGTGAATTTTCACTTGTTTTACGAATTACATCAAAATTCATTGGTTTATTGGTTTAAGGATGTTTTACTTTGACTGTTTTCAGTTCCAAACCAGACAAGACCAGATCATACTTAAACAGATTAGATCAGACTTAAATAAATCAGACCAGATTAGACCAGACTTGACTTTCGTAGTTATAAAATACACAGAGACCAGACGTTTACCAGATCATACCAAAAGTGATAGAAATTCTATTGGAACTCTATTCTTTTAAAATCCTCCACAACATTCATTAAAAATCATGAAATTCCATTCTTTTAAAATCCATTTAAAATCTGTAAATTCCGTAGAATTCCATTAAAATCCTGTGAACTCAAAATCCTTATAAATCTCTCAAAATCAAAATTGGGGACAACCCCTTAGTGTTTCATATTATTACACAATCTAACGCGTGAAATTAAAAGTTAGGTGATAAGTTCGTTGATAAGTTTGATGAGCCGAAAACAGTACTCCCTCTGTCTCATTTACATCTTCACACTTTCTTTTTTGGGACGTCCCATTTACTCGTTTACATTTCCTTTTTAAGCAACTTCTTTTACATTAAATGTCCTAACTAATCTTCACTACCTACCCACTTTTTACATTTGAATGATAACATTAATTCCCACCAAAAGTCAGAGGACATGTAAGACATTTGTTCTTCTATTAATTGAGCTCCTAAAATACCGTGTCAAAAATAAATGTCAAGTTCTATTCGGGATGGAGGGAGAATTACCAAACGAGCTCTAAAATAGGAATTCAATTTATAACCTGCGCATATGTTTGAATAATGAGAAAATTAATAAAAACACCTCAAACTTTGAAATGGTGTACGGTAAACTGCTCAAACTTGCATATGTAATTTAAATACTCTAAACTTCAAATAAGAACGTCTGGGGTGTTGATATCACACATCTTCAAAATTTGGGGTATTTTAATTAGCTTTCTTTTGATTAGTGAGGCCTTTATTATCGTGGAGTACATTTTTTAAATAGTAGGGCACTATTTTGAAGATATTTCCAGCAAAGGGACGTGACTAACCATAGCTATCATGCTGGGATGTTTTTTTTGCCATGAAGTCATGAACAGAAGCTAGCATGAATTCCTAGGATTACGCTGAACCACATGAATCAATAGGCCTCTTCTGAATAGATCCATTTGTATACGCTCGGTCACGTCAGATTACACGTTCAAAAAATGAATTGTTTATGCATGGACAATTTACAATTATACTTAAGGCGTGTAAGCCGACGTGTAATTGAGCGTGTACAAGTAGCATTTCAGACAAATACAAAGTTTCAAAACATTGTGATATTCTTATTTTCATACTCCGTATTTGAAAAGTTTTGTCTAGTTAACATTCAATTACATTTTTCTTACTCTCTCCGTCCCACTAACATTGAGACAACAGGGAGTGACACACAAATCAATAAAAAAATGGTTTATGTAGTTGATATTGAATTGATAAAATAAGAATAAAATAAGGATGATTTAGAGTCACACAAACTTTATCAAATTTGATATGAGACAATATTAGTTGGACGAACCAAAAAATAAAATGGAACAATCATAGCGAGACAGAGGGAGTATTAATTACAATTATACATTTTCAATTTATTTCACATTCTTAGAAATGTGTCAAATCAAACCAGGATTTTAATTATGCGAAAGGACAATTTTATACTCTCTGCGCCACCATTTATAACTTTGACAACTTTCCATTTTTTCATCCTACTATCTTGTTCATTTCCTTTGACATCTTTCTTTTTTGGGATGTTTCAAAAAACTTTGTCACTTTCCATTTTAATCAATTATTTTATGATTTCTGTTATTTTTCTATCATCTGCACAAACCTTAACCATACAGTTTTTGGTTTATCATTTTATGTGCCGGTCAACTTTAACGAAGTTTTTAAGCAACAAAGGTAGTACTGACCTTTTTCTCACTTTCTTGAAGACACATCCAAGTTAAACTGTAATAAAGAAGTTACCGTAAACAATCCTACTCCGTATGATAAAAACTTGTCCATTTCTCTTTCAAAATTAATAAAATTATACTCCTATAAAGAGAGACAGAGTATTTGTTTTTTTTTTGATAAAATTATACGGAAAAAGAGAAAGAGTATTTGTTTTATTCCGTATTTAACTTTTCCTCGAATTGATGTGATAGATAGGATGTATCTCTGATTATTTCATCAGTGTTATGTCGCATCCAAATTAAATATATTCCGACTTCTCTATACTCCTCCACCACTGTCATATTTTACCACGCGTTTCTTTCCACGGCCTCCTGATATTATACGGAGTAACATTTTTCATGCTACTACTCCCTCCGGTTCTTATTAAAGTTCCCACTTTCCTTTTTGGGATGTCCCTTATTTAAATTCACACTTCCATTTTAGGAAACAAAACAGTGCAAAACAGTGTCAAACAATGTCCAAACAGTGTCCAAACAGTGCCAAACAGTGCACTTCACAGTAAAGTCAAATTCATTTTCTTAATATGTGTGAAGTCAAACTAGGAACTTAAATAAGAACCGGAGGAAGTATAAAACAAAGGATGCCACACCATTTCTGGGAACCTTTAACACAGATCCGACAATTAGATGGGAGAATGTAAATTATACTCGTTTCATCCCTTAAAACTTTATCAAGTTTATCCGGAACGGGGATTAATAAAGTAAAAAGTGTGTGATTGAGGTTTATGTAGAAGAGAAAAAATTATCTGAAATTACAAATTCTTTATTTAAAGGAAAAATGACAAAGTTAGTGGGACTTCCAAAAAAGAAAAATTGACAAAGTTTTAAGAGGCGAAGGGAGTACTTTAATTACAAGCTAGCATATAAAGAGTGAAGCTGTGACACTGGTAGTCACAGAGACCCTATGCATTTTAGCATAATTACTTCTTATCGTAGTTGTGAGGATTCGAACTCGAAACTTACCCGTGTGGCACCCCCTATCTACCAATTGACTCAACTGGTAGCTCAACTGTGTTGAGTTACGCCCACCGGTTTCATGCTACTATATTGAAGATAAAAAACTTTTTGGTAATTCTCGTTTTTTATAATTATATAACAACTAAAATACTTCTTCCGTATTTGAAAATTCTCTACAATAAGTTTAAACATAACATTTAATGGTGAAATATTAAGAAATTATGAATAGTGTAAAAGTAGAAAACAAGGTGGAAAAATATGAAAGAGAATATAAAAGGTAAAAAAACTAAGAGTTAATTGAGTATTTTTAAAGAAAAAACTTATCAACAAGGGAAACTGTAGCAAACTTTTGAATACATCAAAAAAAAGAAAATGTAGCAAACTTTAAAATACGGGAGTAATAATACTCATAAATATACGTTGAAAATAGACAAAATGTCATCAGACTTAAAATCTATCACCTCCGTAGAAGCAATAAAATTCGTTGGTTCTGTATTGGGATTAACTGAGTCAATGCCATACAAACAAGACTTCTCATCATCTGTCTTACATTCTAGATTTTTCTGTTGGGATATAGAAACACTATCAAAAAAACATGCAATTGGAAATAAAACGTAACAAAATAAAACGGAATTAAAACACAGTTCACTCGTCTTCTTTCCAAACCTAGACTTTCCTGCACTCCATGACGACGGTTTAGGAGGGGGACGAGCCAACATTACTATGACTTCTTCCTCACCTTGTCTCTTATTCATTATGCTCTCTGTTAAGCTTCCACTTTCATCACCAAACACAAATGACCTCGAATCCAGATCTGTTCTAGCGTTTAGCCACAAGCTTCGTTCATGACCTTCTAATCTCAGTCATTGACGACGTCCTCGAAACTCTTCACATGCTACCAGAGTTGCACGAACTTCGGCCACTGAAAATTTTCGAACAATTTTCATATTATCAAATATATAATCAGTCAAAATTTAACATCATTGACTTGAAAAATAGTGTCGCACTAAATAAAAGGGAGGAAGTACATATTATTATTTTATTTTCCTAATTAATAAACAAAACATCAAATAACTCCCCCCAAAAATATTAACCGTATTCAAAAGAGTCAGGCTACTACTCAAGCACATTAAGCTTTAAAGACCTAAAAACAAAGTACACGGTAAATATCTTTGTGATGAATATAATACGTATAAAATATTGAGTGTGGAACGGTGCAGTACGCTATTTTGAAACTATGAACTTCTCACTCTGCTCCACCTCGAATTCATATTTTAGCAGAAAATTTAGGAAATTATTTGAGAGGAGATGTTTGGAGAAGAAAATCGGGTAGAAGGGATTTGACAAAGAAGTGAATATAGTTTATATTGAATTGGTCTAGTCACTTGGTCGCCAATCGGATTTTTTAATTTTGTAGGTTGTGTGTTTTACGAGGAGTCACTAATCAAGATCGAGGAAGATGACTTTTTCCTCCGAAGAGCCGCACGTTCGATCTTTCTAGCTCCGAAGAGGTGCATCATCGCCACACCCAAAAATATTAAATACTTCAGTTTTTTCTAATGGAACTAACATATCAATTAAAATTGGGGTCCTCCTTAAGTGGAGGCCCTGTTCCACCGCACCGTTTGCACTGCCTTGTGACCGGGCCTGATGCTAAAATGCACAGGGTCTCTACAAGTACCTGCACAAGAGCCCCACTCTCTATATGATTCATCAGTTTGTGAATAAAGTCCAATTTACATCATCCTATGTAACTATCCGATCGGTGTTGGGGGGCCTCTCAGAGGTGGAGTGTCATTCTATTTTTAGAATTTAGAAGGTTGGGCCGTTGTCAATATCGTAGAATAAGACGCCGAGTTGGTATGTCATCATCAACAAATCCAATTTTGCTCGTTGGATATAGGGCGTTGTTCATCTCATTAAACAAGTCATTGTAATTGTCCATAGAGTAGCAACAAACATCATCTCCCGATTTGGAAATAGATACAAAACTTGGAAATTCTTTGTCACACACGTAGTTGGATTACTTTAAAAACAATAAAACACTATATACAATTATGAACTAGTTGTCCTATCAAGTTAACGTTTTATGATGAAAACCTTAAATTTTAATAATTCTCTATGTCCAAATCTGGAGCTCTTGTTTTATTTTTAATATGCATTAAGCTGTATTAATTTAATTGTTTTAATATTTAATTAAATAGAATAATTAGAATTTGAATAGTATATATAATCATATTAAAAAACTGTACCCAAAAATTAATATCGAAGACAAAGAAAATTAAAGCAAATCATCGATCCTTTGAATGTTTGATACATGCAACAAATTTATATATATGGGTGGTCTCCGAAATCCGTATACTCAATCTCATAACTTACATTTCATTGGGAATTGAAGATCATGGAATTAACAACATTAATTCAACCGTTGCACTTAAATATTCGTGTGTATCAGTGTGATTAAAAGAAAAAGGAAATGCTTTAAATTGTGTGATATCCTTGGATGGGCCTTGGGGCCTTGGCGCATTGGATACGTACACCGATGTACTAAGAGTATTGTATTGCGTGCTTATCATAATCATCCAATGCTATAGTGTGCATTGTGCACATGTAGCATCAGACATAACCACATAAATATTAACAAATAAATTATCTCTCTCTTTATTTGAATGATTGTATACAATTTTGATAATTTTTCTCCTGCAATGTCAACATCTAGACAGTCTCCCTTACATTGTGGAGAAACTTACCAAAACTGCATAAAACGTTCAAATAAGGAGATAAAGTTTATTTACTAATATTTATGTGGCTCTCTCTCATGACACATGTGCGCCGTGCACATTTTAGCATTGAAGATGCTCTTATATTATAAACCGTTAATCAAATTTATTATAAAAAATAATCAAACTCCTTAATTACGTTTGGCTCTCGTGAATAATAATGTTGTCATAAATTGTCGTGGACCAATCATTGAAGCCGAAGGGCGGTATCGAGTGTGGAGTTGCTTCTATTTCATCGAGATCCGCAAAGAAATCTTCGGATGACTGGTCATCCGTGGGCAGCCCGAACTCGCTCATTTGCCCGCTGTTGTGACCATCACCCGCTGATCTGCCCGGACCCTCATCCAACAGTTGTAGTGTTGAATTGTGCTGCTTGCCAATGGAAAATAATTCCGGTTTGGATGGCTGGGAGTGGGAGGAACGAGCGAGGGCATTCTTTTGAGTGGGCCAGGGGTGGTTGTGCTCGGACGAGTAGGTGATGACCAATGTGTTTGGATCGGTCCGGCTACGCTCGACTTGTTTTCGGGCCAAACATCCCTTTGAACTGCTGCATCTATAGTATCCCCTGTTCCATCCATCATGCATCCTTCAACTCATTAGTGCTTTGGAACATTTTAAAGTGATTTAGAGAAAAACGCTTCGTAGTAAAAATTGTTAGTGTTTGAAAAACATTGATTTTAAAAAATTAAAGTTTACAGTGTTTGATAAAATAAGTGTTTTTTTTTAATAGAAAACGTAAAAAAACAGATTCTAGCTTTTAGCTTTTAAGTATTAATTTAAGTAAAAGTTGTCACTTGAAAACACTCTTTTTAGTTTTGTTAGGTCAAAAGTTGGGAAGTGTTTTATTTTAATTGTTTGCAAACGGTGCCTACTTGTTGTAGTCTAAAATCAAAGTATTAGCCATTCAAAAGGTTTAGAATGAAAATTTTGGATTTCTAATTTCAGGGCTGGTCCTAGGGGGAGGGAGGGTAGCAGAGGCGACCGCCCTAGGCCTGAAAAAAAGTAGAAAGAAAATGAGGGCAAATTTTTTTTCTTTATGTGAAATCTGAGTAGGTTTCTTTTTTTATTTATAATTTCAATTGATTAATTAGGCCTAATGTTTAATTTTTGTTGATCATTTGAAAATTTTAAAACATAAGTAAAAGGTCTTGAATAGAGCTAGACAAGTTTTTAAACAGAATGTAAATTTAGTTTTGAAACTATAAAAACACGTCTCTTCACATCTTTTAGCCCTTAAGGCTTTTTAATCTTTTTTATTTCAAAATTATCAATTTATATTATTGTCTTTGGGCTGGCAGTGCCTCCCAATTCTCAAACATCATCCCAATTATCTATTATTCCTCAAAAAACTTAATGGATTAGCAATTTTAAACATTGTACATGTGATCTTGGAAAAAATGATTATAAAGCAATTATTAATGATTTTAATTCACAATGTTTTTTGTGATACTTGTGTTGTTACTTTTGTCCAAATATGTATTTCAAATACTATGAAGGTGAATTTCGTCTTTATTTTATAACCTTTATTAGATAGTTGTAGGGAGAATTCCTGAAATAGGAGTAATTTTTTGTTTGAAAATTCCAAAAACGAACTGTCATGTGTTTATTTTCTGAATAGGAGTTATTACTGTCATGTTCGAAAAAAACTACCATGTGTAAAGTATGATACTGTCAAAGTATGACAGTAATTACTTCTATTTAGGTAATAAAAACATGATAATCTTAGTTTGGAATACACACACGTTTTTAGTCCTATTTAGAGTAATTTCTCATACTTTATTATACTTTGTAATTTTTACTTTAAGTGTGTATAATTTTCTGTTTGTCTTGGAAATAAGCCTAAAATTGACATAGACCCAAAACTGAATAGGACGGGTCCTGTCTAATTTTCTTACCTTCAGAAACAAATGAAAGGATTAAGAACGAAGAGTGGGGGTTGGAGATTTTTTTTGGCCGGATAATAGATTCGCAAAATGAAGGTTGAGCGGAGCAAAAAAAAAAACGTATTAGGCTCTCAATCCCCAAAAAAGTTCTCTTTTCTTAGAATTGTTTTTCCATGATTTTTTATTTGTGCTTCAATTTTTACAAAATTTCTCTTTCCTAGGAACTTAGAAGTGTAGTAAATTAAATAATGGTGACAAAGTGTTAAAGTGGAGTCAGGGCCGGTCCTGAGGAAATGAAGGTCCTGTGCAAAAAAATAATTGGGCCTTCTTTTCAAAGTTTCAACACAAGTTAAAAAAACCGAACCAAAACCGCACCGACTCAAACGGGACCTGAAAGTCGTGACTCGAACATAAATCGGTTTAATGAAGGTTTTTTGAGTTAAAAAATCGGTTCAAACCGAACCGAACCGATTTTTATTAAGAGGTATTTTAATTATTTATTTTGTAGAACAAATATGTAATATAAAACTTGTACGTCCATATTTCAAGAATTAGTTGATTTGGTCCGGTGGTTGATGTTTAGAAATCAGCGTGCATGCTTTTATTTTCACCTGGATTCAAATCCCGAATACGTCGCTTCTTTTCTTTTTTGTTTCTAAAGCTTAAGATTCTCACACCGGTGGAAACGGAGGATTTACTACTCCTTCGTTCCTATATACACGCTCCTCCTTTGAAGATGAGGAATACACGAAGTAACAAACCAGACTTGCTTCAAAGCCTTGCCCTAGTCCACCTAAGTAATAATACTCCCTCCGTCCGCTAATATTGGACAAGAGGGAGTGACACGCAAATTAATAAAAAGTGGTTTTATGTGGTTGATATTGAATTGATAAAGTAAGAATGATTTAGAGTCACACAAACTTTACCAAATTTGGTATGAGACAATCTTAATTGGACAGACCGATAAGGTAAAATGGGACAATCATAGCGGGACGGAGGTAGTAGTATACTACTACAAAAAAATTGGGCCCTTCCAATTCTTTGGGCCTTGTGCGGTTGGACACCCTGCACACCATCAGGGCCGGCCCTGAGTGGAGTAAGCGGCGGAGTAGTACGTATTAGTTTTTTTTTTTGAAAATGAGTAGTATGAGTATTACTTACTCGTATGTCCGTATTTTGTAGAAATAATTATATAAATATTTATGTAAATATGTTTTATTTTAGTAATATTTTTGTAAAAAATTCTAAAACTAGTTCCACAATACGGCATCATGGGAGTGTTTGAATCTAGTTCCTAAAACTATGTACTTCTACTTCTTTAGTGAGCATAAGCATATACCCCCTGTGTTCCAAAATGAACTTCACAGTCACTATTCACATGGTCAACTTAAATTACTCTTAATCTTATGTTTTATATATCAAATTTTTATCAAATGTATATTTTTTTATCAGCCTTTGTAGCGGTTTTAATGTAGTTTCTCAATATGTAAATTTTATTTACTAAAAGTAATCTGAGTATGAACAAGGATCAAGTTGCTTTATCGTCGGTCAAGTATCGTAATCCGAAATGGGATGTTCATTTTGGGACGGAGGTAGTATTGAAATGTTCAGGTGAAATTGCTAAAATACTTCTGATTGCTCCAAAATTACTTTCAAAACAAGTTTGTAGAAGTTGGAGAAAACCAACTTTTAAAACTTGATTCTAATTCTACTTTTAGAAAAGAAACAAAAAAGAATAGATTCTAAACACATCTGATTTAGTGGTGTCGTGTTGTTGTTCCTTTGTGTAATTTCGTTAAATGAAACAAAAATGTTATCTGTACTCATCCTTATACCCACTTGTATATCCACCGTGCAGTGTTTGTGCAAGGCTTTTTTTGTCAATGAATCCTGTTCATAGACAAAATATGTTTGTGCAAATTTTGCATAGAAAAAATAAGACACACGGAGTACTACGTATTGTTTTTGTGAACCACACTCACAAACAAAAAACTTTAATAGACATCACGAATGATTGGGGGGATTGAAAAACATGACCAACCTGGGATAAGGAGAACCTTTGATGGGCTTTTGACCGTACTTCCGCCACGCCCAAAGATCCGACGGAACTACCTCTCCGCTCTGCCTACTATTTGCTGGCTCCGGCGCCGGCACGCAAACCACCTTCTTCGCCGCCAGACTCTTCCTGCTGTGTGTGATCACGTCGCCGCAGAATTAATTAGTCAGAGCAGTAATTTGATATGTAAACGCACACCACAGGTACGTACACTCCACACTTATCATCATTTTTGATGCATGAAAGAAAGCGATAGATATTTATTACCCTTAAAGTTCTCAAACAGAATGTAAAAGAAAAGAGAAATAGTCAAAGTACATTATTATTGGTGCTGTCTTATAACCCAGACAGTTCATTTGATAACTCAGTCTGCTGTTCATTCCATTACTACATACCCTTACATTGAACACTAGTTATATACGATGAGCTCGTTTTGTAACACTAAAATATCTGATCACGTTGAAATTTATGAAGTTTGACTTAAATGGCTATATTAGTTGATTTTACTGATTTTTGAAAAAAAAATATTTAAAATATATATTTTATTAATAAAATAAAGAAAAAAATATGTGTAGAAATAGCTAAAATGGTCATCTAAAGTAACTTCAGTTGAAACTACCAAAAAAAGTAACTCTGACCTTACTTTTTCTTATTATTACAGATTTCGGCGCATGAAATCAAAGGTTGCATGTTTAGTGAAAAAGTTGATTGATAAGCCTGATAAGGTGAATAATATTGTTACCAAACGAACTCAATATCTACTTATTTAGAATGTTCATATTGTGTCCATTAATAATTAGTTTTACACCTTTCCTGTAGTCCTGTAACAATGAGTTATGACTAACCAGAAAATAAACATTTTATTATTGTGTGCTAACACGCTCACCATGAACACATTAACCTGATGATGGACTGATGGTTGCCTCATGTTTAAAACAGGAAGAATCTATATTGTTCTATTTGTTCATGTAAATCATGTTAAAGCACAATGCCTAAGAATACGGTAAAATCTGGCAAATCAGGGAAGACTTGTCCTAGATTGTTTTATTTTTTAGACTTGCCCTAACTTATTTCCCGTTAGAAAAATGGGTAATTCTTGTTGAACATAAAATTAAATTTGTACACACATTATATACTGTCTGTGTGCACATGTTATTTGGCAGAAAAATTTGCCCACTTTTAAATGAATTGCATGTACACACAAACAGCTAGGGTGTGGGTACAATTTGTATACTACTTTTGTGTACAAATGTAATTTTCCAAGAAAATATCCCCTTGAACACGCCCAGCTTACACTTCATTAACATGTCGGGGTTTGTTGTGCACATTTTTCACATTTAAAAGTGAATTGCCTGTGTTCTTAAAAAGTGAATTGTATTGGCCATCGACATTACAAACGAATTATAAGTGTCTCATATTCCTTTTCGAACTGTATCAAGTTAATTTTCTCATTTTCCTTTTTAGAAATAAATCTATCCCAACGCCATCTATAGTACACTATTAAAATATACTCCTTCCGGTTCTTATTTAAGTTCCCAGTTTGACTTTACTGTGGAGTGCACTGTTTGGCACTGTTTGGCACTGTTTTGCACTGTTTTGTTTCCTAAAATGGAAGTGTGAACTTAAATAAGGGACATCCCAAAAAGGAAAGTGGGAACTTTAATAAGAACCGGAGGGAGTACATACAATGTTGCTACATTACAAAAAACTTCATACGGAGTACTTTGTAATTTAAAAAGTTCACAGTGAACTATCTCATTATCCAAAACATGCAAATTCTATTATGACACTTATAATGGCACGAAGGCAATAAGAGCATCTACAATGCAAAAACGTGACATGAGAGAGATTGACACGTAAAAATTAATAAGTAGCATATCTCTCTCTCCTTATTTGAGTGGTGTTTTGGTAAATTTCTATCACAATGTCTATCACAATCTCTATATGTAGACATTGCAGTTGACATTATTAGAAAAACTTATCAAAAATTCATAAAACCTTAGAAAAAAGGAGTGAGAAATGTCGTGAATGTATTCTTTTGTGTCTATCTCTCATGTCACATGTACACTGTGTGCACATTGTAGCATTGAAGATACTCTAATATACTACGCTATCATTCTTTATCCTATTTTTCTCCTTTTTAATAAAAGTGATGACTTTTCTTCCTCAACCAAAACTAAACATTCGGCCGTTTATAACAAATTTATTGTCACACTTCCATTTTCGGAAATAAATCTATCCCAAGAGAAACTATAGTACAATTTAATAAAGTAGGGGCTGCAGTTTTAAAAACCTCATACTCCCTCCGTCCCTAATCTTTCTCTCTTTTCGGCTGGGCACATTTATTAAGATACTGAGATTTGTGTGGTGGAGAGTTATGCAGAGGAGAGAGAAATGTGTAAGAATGTGTAAGAATGGTTGTGAACCACAATTTTTTTGCTAAAAAGGGGAAGAGGAGATAATTTTGGGACGGACGAAAAAGGAAAGTTTGAAGATAATTTAGGGACGGAGTGAGTAATTTTTAAAAGTCTATAGTAAATATGTCTCATCATCTAAAACTACATGAAAATCCTACTTTGACACTTATAGTGACACGAAGGGAGTAATATAACATTCTTTGTCAAATTTTCTCTTTTTTATCGTAGCGGCCACTTCCCTTTCTCAACCAAATCAAAATATTCAGGCATTCTTGAGAATAAGGTTCTCTATGATGTTTTTAATTGAACTGGTTTCAATCCCATATTAGACCAGATCAGACAAAATAGACTATATTATATTAGGTCAAGTTAGACTTTGAAAGTTGTGAAATACACATAAAACAGACACCTATAAGATAAGATCAGACAAGTCTACAAGTAAACAAACCAGACAAAAACTACAGTCCTATTAAAAAACATAATTTCTTCTTTCATTCGTCAAAAAGAAGGTGACATGTCACTTTTTATTTATCCATGTTGCCTTCTTCTTTACTGCGTTTAGGCGGAAACTCTCAAAATGAAAGCATGTCTCACTTTGTGAAAAAAATGAACCTCATGCCCCTATTTAAAAACGGTCCAAACCGTAATTACTTGTAGTGTACTTTTCCCTTATCTTTATGTGTCATAAATCAAAATTGTACGGAGTAGTAATTATTTTTATTAAGCACATACGTAAGTAATTTGTTGATGATAAAAATGAATTCACGTACAAAGTCTAATTAGGCCACTTAAGTATGAGTTATAAAATGTATTTTTTGAAAGAGTTATAAAATGGGTTAAATCCATTTTAAATTTGATCGATTGTAAACTACGACAAAAAAAAATTAATAAATATTTAGAAAGTTTAATTTGTAATCCATTAGGGATGTAACTTATCATACGTAGCATCTACTACGAGAACCCAAATAAAGACTTGATGGAAGCAGATCCATATAACTAACTATTTGTAATTTGATACAGAGTGAAAAAGGCGAATCAAATTAATACTTCGAAAAGAGATGGGTGAGAATTAGAGATGCATATTCTTGAAGTAATCGAAACCCTAAAGGCCTAAAGGATTCAAGAAAGAACTAAGAAAACTTAGCTTGCTAAGGTAGGACTATTTTTATTGAAATAAAAACCAGAAAAAAAAGGAAAGTATGCGTATGTAGTATTTCCTCCGCTTTTTAATAAGTGTAACATGTTAAATTTTATACTATTTACATGTTCTACTTTATCGATGTATTATTTCTTGATGTATTAATTACTAAATTATTTATTTAAAAACTGTTGTTAAATTTGTTTCAATTGTAAATTTTTAAAATTTTATTTTTTACTAATAGAGAATTATACTCTGTATATATTAATGATCAAAGTTGTTATTGGCAAACATGAAAACTGGATTATTGCAGTTGTTTGAGGACAAAGGTAGTACATTACAATTAAATACTCCGTATAAGAAATTAATTTTGTTTGATAAATTATACTCCCTCCATCCCATAACGAAGTTCGTGTTTCAGTTTATGATGTTTGACTGACGATAAAGCATCTTGATCCACGTTAACATTCAGATTATTTTTAGTAAATAAAATTTACATATTCGGAAAATACATTAAAACCGTTAAAAAGTCTGATAAAGAAAATTTAAATTTGATAAAAATTTGATATATAAAGTAAAAGATTAATAATGATTTAAGTTAAGCAAGAACGAATGAGACCTTCGTTGAAATTTTAATATTGAATTGAAATTTTAATTGCATGATGGAGGAAGTAATATTTTGTCATTAACGGTGGTAAATGACAAATAATTTTTCTTATCCATAGTGAAGTTTGAATCAGTAGTTATTAGCTAACTCTGACCTCCTTTTCATAACACCCGTGTTTCTCGGAAGTGAGATCTGCACCACCGAGTCTGACGTGTAATCCGCCGCACGTGATTCTGAGATTTTCATTTCATTACCAGCACCGAATACAACGCTACCCTCCGCCGTAGGCGGCGGTAGGGTCTGATTTGAATAGGGGGAGATCCGGAGCTTTCTTGAAAAAACGTTGCAAGTCGGAGGTCCCTTCCTTTTTCCATCATCATCACGAACGAGTTCCGTCAACGACGGCGTAGCAACTAAGTGATGAAAGCTCCCACCATCAGCCGCGGCGGCGTCTACGAGATCGAGCTCGAAAAACCCCTTCACTCCTGCGAGCTGCTCCGGGAATATCATCGGCGGGGACCCTGCCGGCATGCTGCAAAAAGGGTCCCCGAAATCGCGTTGATCTGACGGTGGGTAGCAATAACCCATACACCTAGTTTCATCGCTGATGCTTGGAGGGTATTGCCACGTGTCTGAAAAGTTACCGGCCGGCGACGCTAATAATGCGCCGGAGAAGATGTCGGTTAGATCACCTTGGTAATTATCCATGACGTGTAGGGTTAGCTGCACATATATAAGACGATCGAGCAACCTAAGAAATGGTTAAATAAATTAAGGAGTTTTTTTGGATGCTCGAGGAGATTAAGGATAAGTACTCTATAAGCAAGGATGTTTTAATGGATTAAACAGATGGATGGGTAGTGGATGACTGACGTGAATTGCATGAAGTTATAGCAATCGGAGCTCTCCTTTTTGCTAAGGATTGAAAGAAAGAATCAATCATTTTACTCCGTATTATGAGCTGAAATTCGTTCTCAAAAATGTGGAGAGATGTGTGTGGTATCTGACTTTTCATATAAAACCTACTCATCATATTCATATACTCCATCCGTTCTTTTTTAATTGCGATGGTCAACATTTCACATTTTTCAACGCACGTCTTTGACGGTAATTATATCTTAATTCTATTAGTAAAAAAATATATTAAAAATCATATTTTGAAAATTTATAATGAGATGAATTGAAAAATATTTAAAAAAAAAATAATTTTCATAAAATAATAGCGTAAAATGTAATCAAAGTAGAACATGTAAATAGTGTAAAATTCAACATGTTGCGATTAAAACGAAACGGATGATAATATACATTTTCGAATGCAAACTACAATTCTCCCATCACTTTTTTCAATTTGATACGAGTAATGCTCCCTCCATTCCAATTTGATGGTATGATTGTGGTTTAAGAAGTTTGATCGAATAAAACAAATGAATCCCTGTGTATACCCAGATTATTTTTAGGAAAAAATACTCCGTATATTTTTAAAAACTACATTAAAAGCTTTACAAACTTGTAAAAACCAAAACCAAATTTTATAAAATTTGATATATAATGTAAGAGATTAATAGTGATTAGTGTTGACCAAGTGAATAAGAACCATGATCATCAAATTGGAACAAATGTCATACTTGTGCATGACCTATTGACGACTTGTTGTTTGAGAATTTTCTTTTACTTACAAAACATTAAACAAAAAATTACAATCTTCTATATCAAAATCGTCACATGCATATACTAGAAACAATGACACAAATATTACTTCTTAACTTTTATTATACAAAAATATGATCAAATTTCGTTTGGACAAAAAAGGGAGTAAAACAGCGCCTCTCTGTTCAACTACTCTGTTCGTCCAAGTCCTCCTCTCCCATATCCAAAATCGGACAAAGCTCCCAAGTCATCGACAAAGCTATCTTCTCTACGCTCAGTCCAAATCGAACGAAGATCAGAGAAGCTTCGCACCATGGCCTCCATCTCCGCCGCGGTTGATGGGGAGGTGGACGTTGTCGTCTTCATCCATGGAGGATGAGTCGTCGCAAGTACTCGAGCTCGTTAGAGTGCACAGTTGCCTACACCACTGGAGCTCAGTCAGTGTCGCCGCCGCAGTGAGAGTTGTCGCTCTGCGTCGCATCTGTCCTCTCCCCTAGAACTCAATCGCAAAACAGATCTAATCCCAAATCTGTTGGGTTGTCAATGGAACGTGGTTTTCCGGTGTTGGACGTTTGGGGGGTGGGGATCGGGGTTTTCCGGTGCTAGACGTTTGGGTCGAGAGGGTAGTGGAAGTGCGGTGTATGGGGAGGGTGATTGGTGGCGGTGATCGGTGGTGGCCGTAATAACAGTTACCGGAGTAATAATTGTGTGTCACCGCAGAATTATCACTGCGAACATGTCACTGCGGTGGTGTAACTATGGCCCGCGGAGAAGACTGGAGGTGGTCGGAAGCGGAGAAGTCATTGTGATCAAAGGTCGAGGTGGAGGTGTCACTGCGATGGTGTCACTATGGCCAGCAGCGGTGACAGGCGGCAATGACACCCGACAGTGACATTAAATTGGCAGTGACATGAATATTTGACAACAACTTTATATTTTTCCAAATATATAACTATCTTAGTCACTTTTTGTCCAAATGTAAATGTGGTCATATTTTTTGAAAATTAGCTTTAATTTAGTAATATTCCGCCAAAAAACCACACAGTATGTTATTACGTATATAACTTTTTCCTTTGTCTCGATATTTAAAGCCATTGTGATTCCTTCTTTTCCTATTTTCACCCCATCTTTTTCATTAATCCTTCAAACATTCCTTGGCCACTTATTGTCTAGAATTTTCCTCTTGTTCTTCTCTTTTTATTTAATCTCCCTCTCATCTATCGCATTTTGTAGTGTCTGCCATTTTTCTGTTTCTTTTTCCTTTCTTCGTTTACCCTGACGTTTTTTGTTATTCTACCTTTTTCCTTCATTTCATTTTCTTTCCTTTGTACTACCTCCGTCCCATTAAGATTGGGACAACAAAAGATGACACAATTATTAAGAAAAGTAAATTTGTATGGTTAATATTAAATTGATAAAGTAAAAATAAAGTAAAAATGATTTAGAACCCCACAAACCATACCAAATTTGATATGTGACAATCTTAGTGAGATTTTTCTCGGAAAGGTAAACTGAGGCAATCTTAGCGAGGCGGAGGAAGTATTTTTTACCATATTACATTCCCCTGAAATTGATGAAATTAATGTATGGTGAGAGCTCACTTAGAGAAATATATTAAAGTTGAGATTCAGGTAAGAAGAAGAAAAAGGAAAAAAGAACGGGTGAATTAAGATAAAAAGAAGATAATGCAAAAAAACAAAAAGAAAGGTGGGGAGAAAGAACTTTTATAAAGGGAGTTAATTAGGGAAACTGTTAAAAAAGTTTCTAATAGGAGTAGCATCTGAAAAAAATTCGTAACTTTTAGTATTAATTAGTCCTAACAGCTTGTATACCAAACCGAACTAAATCAAACAACCAGCTTTTTACAAAACATCTACCACCTTTTCTCTTTAAAATCTTTTCAGTCACTAAAAGCTAACAGTTACGTAGTATTAAAAAACTCACAAAAGTTTCTTTTCAGGTAGTTGTGCCAATTAGACATCGGTCGCAAAAATTGAGCTTTTTTAATACTTTCGTGACCACATAAAATATGGTCGCTATTGGTATACATATTGCGATCAAATCAGACAACGGTCGCAAATTATTTGTCGCAAAAAGTCAATTTTCTTGTAGTGCAAACATATCCTAAACAAAAAGGGAAATTAATAGATAAACTTGAAGACCAGGAAAACGAAAACAAAAAAAAAAAACTTTCTTTATAGTGTGAAAAATGGAATACAAAAATACAGAGTAATAATGGCAAATAGTTTTAATACCGTGCATTTAATATGACAATATTTATTATAATTAGTGGCAGTATTTTTTAATCATGGCATTATTTTTCATCGGAGTATATGACAGTAAAAACTTTTATTTCGGGAAGAAAAATATAGTAGTCCTATTTTGGAATTTCAAACCCCATTTACTCCTATTTAGAGTAATTTCCCAAAATTTTATTTAGATCTCGAAGGGTTTGTCATATCTTTAATTTACTATTACGGTGATATTACATGATTTTATTTTGAGTGATTTTTTTTATTTGATCTTTAACCCTCTTCTAATCTATTTTAATATGTTTAAATTTGATCCAATTTTTTTTGATATGATCTAATTGGTCTCATCTGATACGATAATAAAAGTACACATATGTATTACGGAGTACAATTTTTATACTCGTATTTGATTTGATTTGTTTAAATCAAATTTAATGTAAATGTGATTTGTTTAAATATAATCTCATCTCAAATTGGAAAAAGTCATGATAACTTCAGATCTATCAAATTGGAAATTGTGTATCCGACAAATTTATATACAATAGTTGCAAGTGTCATGCTCGGTCTCCTAAAAGTAAGTGTTTACTTTAAATAAATGAACAGTGACGACTAAGTATTTAAATACGGAGTATGTACTTGTACATAACAAACTTGAAATCAACATACGGAAGTATTATAATTTCATTAAATAAATTTAAGAAATAATTACATATTTATAACTAAAATAAAGATTATTTACAAAAATGTGAACCCAGTGATTAAGTATCTTCAATAGAATTATAGTAACTCGTGCTCACTTCTTATACTTAAGTTATCATGTCATTACATTGTAGTAATTAATAGTCATATTTTTATAAATATGTTTTACTTTGATAATATTTTTGAGAAAACCCAATAAATAATGTATTGTATTTTAATTACACTATTTATTACCCAGTAATATTTTATTCCTTTTTTATAACTTTGATAATCTTGATTGATGCATATAGATCTGCTCTCAGTTTCTGATTAAACCGAAATCAAACAATTGGTTTTTTGAATCAGAACTTGAACAAAATTAAAGTTGAAAAATCCTTTTTTAGAACAAACTAAATATAAGAAGTAATTCAAATGTAATTATTTCAGAAAAATTAGAAATAAGCTATATATAGATTCAACCATTTGGGTTTCTTTTTTCTTAACATCTACATATAGATCAAGAGATTCCTAGTGTTAGAGTAAAGTGAAATAATTGTAGGAGTACGGTGCACAATATTTAGGAATCCATAATCGGAGAATGGTTGGAATTGAATCGGTTGGAATATGTTCTTATATACTCTATTCATAACAAAAAAATCTTTCCAGTTTCCTTTTTTGTCTGTAACGAATTGTTTTTCTCAAAAATTAAATTTTTCTATCATACCCTCCATAATTTTGAAAACAATACACTATTACAATTATTGTTTTGGATTTATCCTTCATTTCATCACATTATTCCACTATCTTCTGATCAAACCCTCAACAATATTTATATATTCTTTTACTATTCTTAATCTACCTACCTTTGAAATGGGAAACTTCTTAAGTTATGAAGGGAGTATGAGTTTTAATATGATCGAGTTTAACAAGTTAATGGTTTGAATATATACTAAAATTCGGTTAAAATTGGTTCTCATATGTGAGCTCTAATAATGATTTGAATCAACGAGATGCATAATATGTACTTATATTTGGTCCCAAAGGTTGAATGCCCAACCACAAGGCCCTCCACCCGACCCGACAGGATGGTGGGGAGGTTAATCACGGTGACTTAGTCAGCAAAGCGGCAGTGTAGGCCTTATACACGTGCGCACTAGAGGTCCAGACTTATTTCAGGTTCTGTAACCTTCACACGGCCGCTGCGGGTTTCGAACTTTGGTCACTTGGTCCAACTTTCCCACCACTCGACCAACTGAGCTACCCGTACGAGTAATATGTACTTATATAAATATATGATTGATACAGATAAACTAATGGTAGTATTGTTGAAATTGCTGACTATAGTACCAAGTGGAGGACCTGGGGGGCTAGGGAGCATGTACCCGGCCTCCGCTTCGAGTCTGAAATTTCACTTGTAGCACTTAAGATAAAAATCAGTGCCCCCGCTTCATATCA